ACTACGTCGTTTTTGACCCAAAAAAAACCCAGGTTTCCTTTTCTTTTTTGTTTTATGCCTTGAGTTCACGTTTCTCGTTTCTGATCCCTTCTTCTTCCTCAAGACGCATCCAAGTCTCTACAAGCCTGTGAGATAAATCGCTGGTAATCTTTTTACTTTTTCCTATATATCAGAATTTCAGGATTGCTTCATCCACAAACAATCATAAAACTTGATAATGAGAGAATTGATCATCAGACCATCACAAAGTTTGATTGAAAACATAATTGACATAGTTTTAATTGGTATCGACATTTGTTGCACAATTAATTGCATTAATGACTCTTGTTGATATCCTTTTATGTTACGTAATGTGCCAAAGTCTATGTTTTTTAATTAATTTTGAATTTAACAATTGAGACAATCAACGACATCATCTTGTATGCATAGGTTCACTAATTCTTTAATTAATTTTGAATTTAACAACTAAGAATTGTTTCTTTATTTTTCTAGATAGTTTCAATTTTTGTAAGTTTTGTCACAGAATTGGATATCAATTTTTGTTGCTTTTTTTTTCTGCTTGACTTTCGACTACATTGTTGTTGTTTTATGCATTTTAATATTTATTATTGCTTTTAGGTTCTATTTTATGCATTTTTTCTGGCTTAATTGTGTTAATCAATTCCCTATTAATCAACTTTTATGTATTAGTTTTACTGATTTCATATATTTCAGTTTTGCTCAGGTTAATTAATCAACTTCTATGCATAGGTTCACTAATTTTATGTATGTCAATAAGCTTAATTGGTGTAAATTTATAATTCCTTTGTATTTACTTTAATTATTCAGGACATGATGGCTGTCATTGAAGAAGTTGATCAACCTATTGAAACACAGGTTATTTATGAAAATGAAGCAAATGCAATGGAAAAATGTAATGAAGGTAAAGGTAAGGATGAAAGTATATTGGGAAAGGTTTTCGATACACCTGATGATGCATATACATTTTATAATGATTATGCATTTTTACATGGATTTGGTATACGTATTGATACCACATTTAAACATAAGACGACAAAGGAACCTTATCGCAAGATATATGTATGCGACAAAGAAGGTTTTAAACGGTTAGACGATAATGCTTCAAGTGGAATCGAGAAAAAACGTCGCAGAGAAGTTAGAATTGGATGTAAAGCAGAACTTCGAATTTCAAAAAATAAAGATGGTAAATGGTTTGTAGACTCGTTTAATGACACACACAATCATGAATTAAGCATGACACCAACGAAGGTGATGGAGCATAGATCTCATGCAAAGTTCCATCGTTTAACGGAATGCAAATCTCTTATGGTGGATCTAGGTCAAGCAGGATTGAAACCTTGTCAAGTTAGAAAGGCTATTAATGCAATGAAAACGTCAACCGTAGCTGATGTTACTTCAAAGCAGTGTGTTGATGTCTTATCTGAGCAACGAAAACAATATAAAGGAAAGGAGTTCTATGGACTTATAAAACATTTCCAAGATAAAGCCTTAGTGGATAATGACCAATACTTTACTGTGGATTTGTGTAATGATGGGAGTCCTAAAAATATTTTTTGGGCTAATGGAAGATCAAGAGATGCATATACTAAATTTAGCGATGTTGTTGTGTTTGATGTCACTTATATGACAAACAAATTCAAGATGCCTTTTGCTCCCTTTGTTGGTGTTAATCATCATGGACAATCTATACTTTTTGGTGGAGCATTGCTAGAAAACGAAAAAGAAGAAACTTTTGAATGGTTATTTGAGAATTTCCTCAAATGTATGTTTGGCAAATATCCGAAGGCTATTATTACTGATCAAGACAAAGCTATGGGTAATGCAATAAAAAAAGTATTTCCAAACACTCAACATCGTTTTTGTGCATGGCATATTAAGAAGCATGAAAATGAACACATTAAAACGTATGTTTCAAGTTATAGTGATTTTAAAGAATCTTATACAAAATGGGTAAATAGTGATACCATTGAAGAATTTGAAACTAGGTGGGAGGTTATGTGTGATAAGTATAGATTACAAAACAATTGTTGGATAAGTGACATGTATAACCAACGAATACATTGGGCTAAAGCCTTCTTAAAGGATGTTTTCTTGGCAGGTATGACCACAAGCGGACGAAGTGAGAGTATTAATTCATTTTTTGATGGATTTGTTAACTCGAAAACTATGTTGAATGAATTTGTAATGCAATATGACAAAGCAGTTGAGTCTCGAAGGGCCGCTGAAGAAGATGAAGACTTCAAGACTATGAACTCAAGGCCGATTCTTTCTTCTCTTCATCCAATCGAAGAAAAAGCAGGTGAGTGTTATACTAGAAAGATTTTTGATATGTTCAAAAAAGAATGGACAGAAGCTACTAGCAATTTAACTCACGAGACTATAATTAAGGGTACTGAAGAAATCAAATATCGAGTAGGGCAACTAAAAGTTGAAAAAACATATTGGCGAACTGTTACGTTTCGTTTTTCTAATGAGGTCAGTGTCACATGTTCGTGTTCTAAGTATGAGACATGTGGGATTTTATGCAAGCATTGTCTATATGTGATGAAGAAGAGACATGTTGAAACACTACCTAGTCACTATATTTTACATCGGTGGACACTTAATGCAAGGTACACGGTGGGTAATAGTAGAATCGGACTCGAAGAAATAAACAATGAAAATGAAGTTAGTGCCTACACATTATGGTGTGTCCGTTCAAATTTTGCTAAACTAATTGAACAAGCAAGAGACTCCCCTTTGGAGATACAAAAACTCAATAACTTATTGATAAGTCTTTTAGATGATCAAGCAAATCGGAAGAAACCTATAGCAAATGAATCTCAAGATTCTTGTGCGAGAATTTTACAAGTAGATATGGTGCATCAATTATCTGTCCGGGATCCTCTTGGTCCAATTAACACGAAAGGGCGTCCAAGAGTTGCAAGTAGAATTAAGTCTTCTTTAGAAGCCCCAAAAAAACGAACGTGTTCTTACTGCCAAAGATTGGGTCATTACGCTACTAGTTGTTCAAAAAGAAAAGTACGTTTGAAAATAACTTTTTTTTAATGATTTTACAAGTTTGATAATCATATTAACAATTTTTTTCATGTATCAGGAAGATGAATCAATGCAAGAGAAAGAAGGATGAGATATGTAGTTACTTTGACAAACTGGCAAATCTAGACTTTTCTTGACATTTTGTTTTTGTTAATTGCATTATCTTTTCTTGTTTTGGAGACAAAAAATATATGCAAAATCTAGATAGTTTATCTTTTTGAACACAAAGTGTGTACATATGAAAAAGCTCTAATATTATGAGCATAAATAAGTTTTTTTGGTTGGTGATATGTTAAATTGTTAATGACATAACATTAAAAAGATTTATGAAAAATACTCTCCTATAGTGGACACCTTTAGTTCTTATCAATGACAATAATTCAAAGAAACCGTTTTTGTTTTTTAAAAAGTGCCCAACTTGGCTGAATCTTAGAGTTGATTAGTTTATGTTTTAATCTTAAATTCAAAATTAGGATAGTTTCGTAAGCAATTGACTCTGTGAAAGAACTAATAAATTGAATTAATACATTTGTTCAATTTTTACTGGTTTTCTGCTTTGAAAAATATTCATTAAATAGTTCATATAAAACAACGCGCTTGAGCTTTTTAACATTTTTGTTAGTTGAGATGGAGCGTGCTTTGGCTTGTTTGAGGTTTCTTTGACTTATAACAGGACAAATTCCAAAATACCCATAGTGGATCCCCATTCCTTGTCGAAGATGGGGATGAGAGGGATATTTAATACCCGATGGTTATGGGAACGAAGATGGGGATTCAAGTATGATGATGGGAATGCGATGCTCCGTATATCCATCCTTGTTTCAAAACCTAGTCATTTGTCATGATGATTATATTAAAACCAATTGTCTAGATGGCAAGAGATTTGAGAAGTATGGTGATGCAATCATGGACTATTAAAGAGAAATATAATCATTGCAAAATGAAGAATCAACATGTGGAAAGTGATCGTTGAACCTAGAAAACTGACTAGTGTTATTGAAATGTATGAATGGAACACTTTTAGAGTTAAAAATTGAAATCCCGTTGAAATCTGATCACAACATAAAATGTTGTCCCTTAAATTCCTTCTTTGTTTTTGGTGTATATACAACAGGAGAAAGGCTTTGATTTGGGTTTGGAATCCCCATTAAATCGCAATTTTTGAAGATAAAGCCTTGAATCAAAAGTAGTAGCGCGACATTAAGGATGATCCGGCGAGAATTTGTAAACAAGTCTCTCCTCTGGATTTCTTTATCTGTGGTGATCTTTATGGTTCTTGCAATCAACAATGGAGGTTTTAGAGCTCGTTTATACTCAGGTGTGATCACATTCCAGAGCTAGGTTAATTTGGACGATCTTATTATGTGAAAATCGATTTGTTAGTCAAGGGCAATATAGTTTATTACTTTTCTTTTAGTTATAATAATTACAAATTATATAAATTGATTACAAATTGTAAAAAATAGTTTATAACAAAAATATGGGCAAATACGATATTTTAAAGGTCAATAAGTATTTTTAAAATTTTAAGTTGGGCAAATACGGTATTTTGTTGTTCGATATAGAATTTTTATATAAATGCAATAAAGCATTCAACCATGCATCTTTAATATCGAAAAACCATTACTAAACTTATGCTCAATTCTAAAGCTATATACTGCCAATTATCTAAAAACTAAAATTGACACACTAATTATGAATTTGCTAACCATTAACATGATTGATGTAAACCAGTTGATTTACAATAAAAACAGAATAGCTCTAAAACCCGAAACAAACTAAATTTTGAGGAAAAGGCAATAATGGAGTCCAAAACAACAGAATTTAGGCAGTGGAGGCGGTTTTAAGGTATATCAGTCTGTCGCAGTTTGTTGAGCCTCTTTCCTTTGATCCGCTTGAAGTTGAGTCTCTTCCCGGTACCCCGCTTCTTCTTCTCCAACTTATCCATATATGCTATCGCTGTCGATGTGCCTTGCATCACTTTCCAAACCAATTGTGCAATTCTTTGTTCTTGTTTTTAGCTTCAACGAATCCCGCTTCATCTCGAGACCATGTTTTTCTGAGGGGTCCTCTTTTTCGGAACCATCAAACATATTTTCTGGGAGCAGACGCCTAAAGTTTTCAGAGTGATCTACCACTTCGGAATCATAAAGTGGATTTTCTGGGAGCAAACGAGTCATGTTTTCTGAAGGAACTACTGTTTCATAAAATGGGTTTTCTGGGAGCAGACGAATCAGTTCTTTCGATTGATCCTCCCTTTCATAAGAAAATGCACAACTTTTGGAACTTTTGAATACAAGAGGTATGGGTCGGGGTGGTGGAACATGGTAACAGGTATAGAAGAAAGGATGCTCAAGTGCCTCCATAGCTGTCGGCCTCGCGGATGGATTCCATGAAATAAGCATCGCAATCAGATCGAGTGCTTCCAGGCTTGCACATGGTAACAGTGAAGAAAGTTGGACACCAGGAAGCTGTGGGAACTGATAGTTGCTATTTACCATGCTCAATGTGGTTTCTGTTGGACTGCCGATCACCCTGCATATTTTATACATTTGATCTCGGTCATGTTTACCAGGAAACAGTGGGTGGCGTGTAAATAGTTCTGCCATGATTGCACCCATTGCCCACATATCAACTGAAGAATCATATTCTTTCCCAAGAAGAACTTCAGGGGCACTATACCAGCGGGACCCAATATTATCAGTGGCCGGTTTGCCATTCATCTCACGAGCTAGACCAAGATCAGCAATCTTTATTACATCCTTGGAAACAAGAAGGTTCTCCGGTTTGAGGTCACGATGAAAGTAGCCGTTGTCGTGCATGTATGCCAGACCTTGAAAGATTTGGAAGCACAAGTCTCTAATCTCGTCCTCTGAAAAAGGCTTCTTCCTGCATGTCATACGCTCGCAGAGATTGCATTCCATGTATTCCAACACCAAGTACAAACTGTCGTCTTCTTTGATGATTTCCTTGAGCTTTATGATGTTTGGATGATTCATCTTGCGCAGAGCCTTGACTTCTGTCAGGTTGATGTATTCTTTGGCCGAGTTGCACCTCATTTTCAGTTTCTTGATGGCAAACACTTCATCAGTGTGTTCATCCCATGCTCCCCAGACAACCCCATAAGATCCACTCCCAATTTCCTTCAGTATTTGATACTGCTCCATTGTTTTCTAGCTTTCTCAAGTAAACACACAAACGAGGAAGAGGAACTCACATAAACAATCGCTACGTATATCAAGAACACATCACCTTAATTGGAACGAAGATAGGTGAATGGGGTAATTGGGGTAATTGGGTCGGCAGTCTATTGTGAATATGAATGTAAGTAGGTTATTATTTATAGTACTAAGTACTGAGATGATCAGATATGCAAGATATAGGGTTTTAAGTTTCCATATATAATTATCTTACGGTTATACCAGACTTCATATTATATGACATGCAGGCACGGTTGCTTAGGCTCCACACAACTTAAAAAATGGCTCCAATCAACTTAGAGCTTTGTATAATTATAATTATAAATTTTATTTCAAGTTTTATTAACAATCAACTTTTGTCTAACTTATAATATCTACATTTCCAACTTTCCAAATTTAATCATAACCATAGTCATAATCTTTTAAATATATCATCTGTTTTACACATAAATGTTTTATAAACATCTAAATATCTTATAAAAGTAACATATTATTCTAATTAAAATACAAATGAACTAAAATAACTAAAAGATCAATTTTAATAAACTTTTAGTAGTTGTTGATTTAAAATGTACCATAAAAATAATACATAAAATAATATATTCTTGAATTAGTTTGTATATTATAATATATAAATCAAAGCATTGTGTTTATTAGTATAACTTTGTTTCGGTGGTTCACGAACTTGTTTAATTTCTTTAAATTGTCGTTATCACCCCAGAGGTGCACTCACCATATTCCATTTTTCACATCCAACATCAAAATAACAACATACTTTAGATTTATATATCCCTTAATATTTTCCAAATGAAAACCCTTAGATATTCTTTTGTTTTCTCATTTTATCGAACAGAACACTCCAAATATGATTTGATAGTATTCCATCATCATCATCAAATGACTAAAAGATATAGCCTCACACACGGACATTACATTATATATATACAACAATAAGAAAAGACACGTAATACTTGGTTTTTATTTTTAGGGATTTGTGTTAAAAAGGATATATTGGGTTTTTGTGATACTTCAGCCAAACAACCTTTGGCATAGTGATTTGCATGACCACATTTGTGACAAACAATCTTTGTTTTTTCTGAATTCGGAGTCTCGTGAGATTCCGAGGTATGATTTGGTGTAGAGAGTTTGGGTTTATTAGCAGGTGGATTTTCTGATGGTTTAGGAAATGGTTGGGGAATACTTAGATGAGGAGCCTGGAAACGGTTGTGATATGGTTTGGTGAGTGGGATTGAACGCATGCTTATATCTCATGGAAAGAAAAGAAATTTTTTGGTGAAAGCGTAGTTCGGAGTCCATCGTTTGAGGGTCAAGGTCTCCATCAAACTCGTTTACAACGGAAGTCAGACGCTTATCCATCATGCGTTCTGATCCTTCGAACAGATCTTGGAGTGTGTCCAAAATCTCTTTAGCAGATTTACACAACGTAATGTTCTCAAAGAGAGAAGGAGGAACACCATACAATATTTCGGAAAAAGCAACTATATCTGCATGCAATTTCTCGTTATCATCAGCAGTGACAGATGCCTAATGCTGTTCTTCTTGTCCCCTGAGAGTTGCAGCAACATCACTTACAATTTGTGTAACATCCCAAATATACATGCCAAAAATTTTGTTTTTGAATACGTTATTCCATAATATCATGTCATGTCAAAATCAAAGTAGAAATAATCAAACATGTTATCATAAAACAACATCAGAGTGTAATCCCAAAGATCTCATGTGCCGAAAACAATAATGTGATGTGATGTGATGCGATCGAGCCGACTCCTTTCCTTTGAAAACGAAGTACCTGAAACCAAAACTGAAAACCGTAAGCACGAAGCTTAGTGAGTTCCCCCATCATACCACATACTATACAATCGCATAGCATACATACTGCTAGGCAATTCCAGGGTGCCCGACCTACCCGGTCCGGCCATTCTGGGGTGCCGACCTACCCGTGTCAAGCCATTCTGGGGTGCTGACCTACCCTTTGGTCCTAACAACTGAACTCCAAGGACTATTTAACCCCTACTACTACTACTACCACACATATCATAATGTAATAATATTGTCAGATATATTTGGGGTGCCCAACATACCCTTCGGTTCTAAAAACCAAACTTGGGGACTATTCTCCTCCTACTACCATTATCATATATAACATATCATGCTAACACATAAACATATCAGGTAGTAACAAACCAGACAATTATCACAAAGACAATCATCTCAACTATAGTCAACTACTAGTGGGTCGGCCTTGGTGCCTTAGACTCACTTCTACTGGAAGGTAACTCACCTCACACTACTGAAGTCCCGCGGACCCAACCCCAACTGTTGGATGACGGGTTCCTAAACTGTCAACTTCAAAATAACACCCAATTAATAATTGGATTCCAATACATAACCATAAGTCCATGCTTGGGGTAAAAGACTATTTTACCCCAAAAGTCAACTATGGGTCAAAGCCCAACACATGGCCCAATTTTCCAAATTAGGCCCAATCCTTTATAAGGTCTTACCATAAGGCCCAACTATTTAGTCCAGTCCAACATTCAACATTCTAATGGCCTAATATCACAGTGTCACCTGATTAGCAATTAGGTCCAAACCATGATCCATAATCCATACTTGGGGTGAAACGACCATTTCACCCTTGACCCATCGAGGTCCATACTATAATATCTTTGAAGGCCCACTAATGACCCATGTCTAAAACCAATCAAGCCCAAACTTCCAAAATCCATAAAGGTCCACCAATAGCCCACTAATGGCTCTAACTTCCAATTAGACCCAATCCTTTCTCATGGGCTTTAGCCAAAAGGCCCAATAATGGTTCTTTAGCACAAATGTTCAATTCCAGATGTCCCACTAAGGCCCAAAGTAGTCAAGTCCAAAGAATGGCCCAAACCGAGGCCCATTAGTGCGGAACCCACTCTGTCTGAGTACGTGGGGCGTACTCAGCTTGTGACTTGTAAGTTGCGTGTACCAGCTTGTACGCTCAACGTACTCCCTGTTAAGCCCCTTTCCCTTGCCCCAACTCCCCAGTCTGACTTCTAGGGGTGACTTTTCAAGTAAAGCTGGCAACTTTACTAACATGCATAGCTTAATGGGACTCTAGAGCTTAAAAGAGCTTAATGGATGGTCTTAACTCATGCTTGGACTCAAACACTTCACAAAGCTTGCACCTTTATGAGAGAGAGGACCTTAGAATGTCCATATCTACAAGGTTGAGTCCCCAAAATGATCCTAGCTTACAAAGACCAAGAAGAAGGCTAAGAATTGCAAAAACCACTCAAAAGAGGATTTATGAAATGGAAGGTCAAGATCAGAGATTTTTACCACCAATGGGTTGACAAGTAGGAGAACTTTCTGGATCTACAAGCTCCCTTCCAAGATCAACACTTGAACACCACCTTCTCTTCTTTCACACACACGCACTAAAAGTCTTCTTTCAAGCTCCAAGATTTATCCAAGGTCATTTAGGGTTTCATCTTCGTGAAAAGGGGTGGAGGCTGATCTAAAATAACCTAGGGAAGGATATCATGAGGCTTATATAGGGCACAAGTAAAGGAATTAGGGTTTTGGGCACTCTGAACATACGTTGGGCGTACTTCTTGTACGTTGGGTGTACGCCTCTCCACACCCACGACTATGTGACTAAATACATTGGGCTTAACCCAGCTTACGCTGGGTGTACCCAGCTAAACACACGCATGCATTCCATGCATGCATGGGTTTCCTTTGTCACAAAACTCCATTAAGGACCAGTTCTGCCAACAACTTCAAAGTATTATAACTTCTTCGTTTTAAGTCCGTTTCCGACGAACTTGATATCCATGGAAAGGTAGCGAGAAGCCCTACGCTCCTAGCATCACACCCGGGCCTTAAAACCTTTCGAATAAAGCTTAAAATGCATAACAGGTCGAGAAATCAATTCACAATCGTACCCTTGGCTCCTGAAGCCACAATTGAAAACATGGTAACCTGAATCATAGCAACTACATTCGAGATGGGATAAATCCTTCCTTTCCCAAAGCTCTAATCCCATGAAAACTAATGATTGAGCCGCAGCCCCAATTAATAAGGCAAATCTGAAACCGAGTGTTACAGCTTGTCTAACAAGAACATGTGGACCTTCTTTTACAGATTTCCAGATAGCTTCACCTTTTTCTTTACCAAGTAAAAACGTTTTCATTCTGACTTTCCAATGATCATACTCGTCAACAACTAGCAATAAGGCACGAGAAGGGCAACCCACGTTATTTTCTATTTTCATTAAAAACATTTGTTAAGAATTAGGAGCAACCATTGAAGTTAAGATATTAGAACAGAAGTAATATATAGAATAAATTTTATCCTGAACACATAAATTATCGAAATACCAAGGTAATTTCGAATCAACTATAATATGTTCTTATGGATTTAAATGACAACCACTCAAGCTCCGATATCAATTGTGTGTACAAGAAACTATTACGCAAGGACAAGGTTTGAAAACTCAGACCTTGAGTTAATCTTTTAGATCAAATTTTGTTCTTAATTAGATGTTCCAGTCGAATCTGGTAATACCAGTTAGGACTTGAATGAAATATTCAACAAAGTACACAATATTAAATGAAGAGACTAGGAGCATAATCAATGTGAACACAATAAATGAACAAGAAGAATAATTATGAAAGATATTAACTTGAGAGCAAAGTGAAAGTAGATCAAAGAGATTTTTTTCTATCTTTGGAGTAACAATGCGTGATTTTCTTATCATTCAAATCACTCCTTATATAGGCCAGGGAGTAACAATGCGTGATTTTCGAGTTGACGAAAGTTGTGATGATGCTTGCTAAGAACAAGGGTGTGCAACCGGTAGTTAGACCTCATGGTTTTTTTTACCCAAGTAGGATACCCCACTGCTATGTGTCCTATGTTGCAAGAATATGTGGAGGAACCACTACTAGAAAAACAGCCTTTTACGACGCTCATTGCGCGTCGTAAAAGGCTCAGACGATGCGCAAATGCACGTCAAGGATGACCCTGTCATAAAGAGAGACGACGCGCTTTTATGACACGCAATGCGTATTATTAACACTGCTGTCAAGAAAGGCCAAGTCATAAATGAAGATGACACACATTTTTGCGTATCGTAATTTTAGTTTTTTTTTTTTTTAAAAAAAGAAATTATTTACAGATTTACTAATTTTCAAATTAAATTTGCATTTCATGCGTCATAATAAAAAATAAAATACCATATACAAAAAAAATACAATCCATTGCTCAAAAGTTAATTTCATACAAATAATCATTCCAATAATAGACAAATGTAATACATCAAATGTGAAAGAGATGAAAATCATCAACAAATAATAGTTGAGCTACAAGAACTTGTTGCCCACCTGCACAACACCCCAAGCTACTTTGCTTGACACTATGCACATCAACAAGACCTACAAATTTGAATAATGCAACCATTAGAGTTCAACTTTTGGCTAGCACTCCAACAGCCCTACTCAAAAATGATCTGATAAAGGTGGCTAATACCAACAACAGAAGCTTCAATAATCACCCTGAAATAAATATATACAAACTACTTACAGTTAAATAATGAAGGGGATCAGATATGTATGGATGCTTGGCGGAATAAATCCCAGGTACAGATGCAACCAAATGTCCGGCAACAATGCTGAAATCAAACTTAGCTAATTCCAATATCTAATGGGCTTGATTAGGAGCACCAACTAACAAAGTTGCCATGAATCCAACAAGTTGAGCAGCAAAATCGGAGTTTGACTCCCTTAAAAGAAGAAAGAGCTTCCAACAGTAGTGATTCCCTGTAATACAATAAATTGGATGGTGATCACAAATTAGGAAAATTGATAACTATCAACTAGATTTAAGTAAGCCAATTAAAACAAGAATTCAATCTAGTTATTTTTCCTACTTGTAATGTTCATCAAGTTTTAACTAGTTATCATTTTTTTTTTTTCAAATACTAATAATCATCATCTAATTCTGGGGTCAAAATTACCCTACAAAATGGAAGAAATAATTAATAAAAGAAAACCTTAATGAATAGTTAAATCACTTGCATATTCCTCTAGAGTTGGCATCTTGTTTCCAAAGCTCCTACCCACAACTTATGCACTCTCCCCAACCATTCTAATCACCTGCTCAACAAGTATAAACATTGCACATAAGACAAGGGTATTTTTGGCACATGAAAAATAAAGCTAACCATACATGACTAAATCACACCAAAGGTAAAAATGGAAATCCTAACGATGTTCCACTTCCATGAGATAATGCAATTTTGAGACGCGACGCCTAAAGAGTGGTTCAAGGCGAAAAGAGGGAACACCAGTCTGCCATCTTTTAACCTCATACATCTCATTCCATGCTTGAACTATTTCATCAATTTTATAACCAAGACCTAAAAAACACTCATACAAAACATTCAACTTTGGACTAAATTAAGTAAAAATCAGAAAAGCACAGGGACTTTTTTGTTATTAAAGGAAGAGCATGGAAGGATGGATATTTGATAATAGTATTACTTACAGCTGTGAAGCTTTAGAGTCCATTACTTGAAAATATGTCCTCCTCGATCCAAGGCGCATGGTACCACCCATATGAGTTTTTGAACCCTATTATCATTCATATTGTTATTTTAAATGATGACTGAATACGTTGTTATATTATATTCAAAAAGAATTAGGTGACAAACCTTGGGGATAAATATGACACAAGGATTTTTAGTATTTGGATCGAATTCGGTGCTATTTGCATTTTCAAGACCAAGAACAGATCTGGCATACTCTATGCAGCAATTTGCATTCCTAAACAAATGCTAAGGTATGGGATATTGTTCTCACGTGCATATTTCACTGCAATGATTTTCCCTTCTACACCTCTATCACCAACCCCCCCCCCCCCGAACAAGCACACCATCCACCTACCACATCATCACACCAAATCACACTCTAAAACCGTTAACAATGCCATTATTATAATTTTTTTGTAAAAAATTTTTTCTATCCAGATGATATTTGATATAACTATCCCAGATGTATCCTTTTATTTAATGTCATATCGTTGTATACACAAAATTCATAGTAGAATAATAACATAAAGTAATGTTCTCACGTTCTCACATTAAATAGTGTTCTCATTTGAACTTAACCCTATATATATATATATATATATGTATGTATGTATGTATGTATGTATATACATACATGCATGCATAAGTTTGAAATACTACAAAGGTGAAATACTACAGCGGCCATGTCATGGCCAACCCACTGCCACATCATGGCCCATTAAAAACATGTGTTCCATTTGCTCCATGCCACGTTGTGGGCATCCTTACACCACGTCGTGGCATAGATTTTTACCCAAAACTCCATCTTTGGTCCCTGATAAATAGTAAGCTAAATCAATTCGGAACAAGGGTACAGAAATAGAAAAAGCATTCACAAGCTGCTAAGAAGAACCTAACACCCCTGATTCTAATGGAAAGACATCAAGGCATACGACTGGTAGCATAGGATATGACGAGCATCATCTTAAGTTGGTAAGTATCATAATTATAAAATTTGTTATTCTTGTTTTTTTAACACTAGTTACATCAATTGTACTTTGTCTTTTATTTAGAAAGCACAGTTAGGTAAAGAACTAATATTTTAATATCTTTTTATGAAGACCCATGGCACTAGTGAGTCCAAGAAAATATATTTCGACGGAGCCTGTGAAAATATGGAATATTGCTAAAAGACTATCTACAAGGTTTGGTGAACAAATATGGAGAAGATCTAACAAACCATGAGGACGATGTTGGGGTATGGGCTGAAAGCCAACTTCTGAGAAAAGGAGGAAAGAAGAACGGTCATACATAAGGTATAAGAGAATCATATATTAATTTTTTGGTTTCTGGGATACCATCTTCCCAATCTACCCAGTCCACCCAACCATAAAACACACCACCAGAGGTATGTTTTTATAGTGTAGAGTTAAGTAGTATGTTGTTATTATGGTTAAAATTGATTAAAAACAAAAGTACATTGCTATTATGGTTTGAAAGTTAGATAGCTTGTTGTTAATATTGATTCAATTGATAATAAACAGAAGTACATTGTTATTATGGTTTAGAAGTTAATTAGTATGTTATTATGGATTAAATAAATATTATACAAAAGTACATTGCTATTATGATCTAAATGTTAGTTAGTTTGTTATTAATATTGATTAAATTGATAATAAACAAAATCACATTGCTATTATGGTTTAAAAGTTAGGCAATTTGTTGTGATTATGGATTAAATTGATAATAAACAAAAGTGCAATGTTATTATGGTTTAAAAGTTAAGTAGTATGTTGTTATTATGGATTAAATTGATAATATACAAACGTACATTACTACTAAGGTATTAAAGTTTGGTAGCTTGTTGTTAATATGAATTAAACTGATAATAAACAAAAGTACATTGCTATTATAGTTTAAAAGTTAAGTATATTGTTATACTTATAAACTATAATAGATTGTTATAATAAGCTCAAGTACATTGTTATTATGGTTTAAGTATTAAATTGTGTTATGCGTTTTGAGATTGATATGATCCGTGAGGAATTTTCTACAATGCGAAAAATATAAGAATAAATACTAGAACAAATCACAATGATGGCGATGATGATGAATATGCTCGCAAATCAAGCTCGTGATCCCCCCGGCAGTCCACCCGAGGATAAAGAGTAAGTATTATGGAACAATGGAATTTGTGAACATTTGGTATTGTTTATTTTTACTTTTTTGTTAATTTTTAGTTGGTGTGAATTTTGGGACAATGGAGGGATGGAATTTGTCAAACTTGGTATTTGGTAGACTTTTTGTGTATTTGAAACTCTAATTGTATTGTTCTCCTTAGGTTTGTGTTTGAATATGATTATGGGCAACTATTGAATTTGGTTTTGCTTTGCATATTTGAAAAAAAAATGAAAATATATTATATTTTATATTCTTTTATGAATAAAACAATATTTTCGATGGAATACTGAAAAGATATAGGTTGTCGGTTTCATCGGTAAAAAAACTCAATGTCAATCAAATTGGGTCCCCTCAATAATCCATAGGAAATCCATTGCTATTTCTCTCCGTAGGTGTTACGTCGGTAATTTACCGATGGAAAAATGTTGTCGGTATGTCGTAAGTAATTCGTAGCTATTCTGTCGGCAGTATTTGCCCACGAACTATTACATTACAACCAATTTTTCATCGGCAGTCGGTCGGTATCCTCTTATACGACGGAATAGCGACGGATAATGTCGTTGGTAATTCTCATTTTTCTAGTAGTGATACAATACTCTTCCCCATTAGCATTTCATTAGGAGAGCCATTTATCCATATCCTTCCTTGCCTTCAAATTGAGAAACAACTATAATCAACAAAAATCATCAAAGTGATGAAAGGGTTTTGCAATTAAATTGTATATCTTAGGGAACGGAGGGTAGGAGAGGAAGCAATGTAAGAGCCCTAACCTATACCACGGACAGGGGGAATGTTTTCCTAGAAAGAGTTCCACCAATTTTAATCGACACCCCTTTTCGCTACCACCAACTATCGAACAACAACTATGATTGAAAATCCAACTCTTATATAGGCCGGACAATTAATGAAAACGGCTTGATTTCTAGTTGCAATCATGGAATTGTGTAGTGTAGTTCTTGAGTAAAATCGATTTGCAGTTCTTGAAGAAACTGATTATAGAAAGTCGAGTCGTGGCTGTTGCACAAATTAATGTGTGAAGAAGGAAGAAGTGAGAAACTATAAAACAAACTTGTAATTATGGAGTTTCAAGGGTTATTATATTCCACCATCATTAATAAGTGACTTGTACGTATTTGTAGACTTCTAATTAGAGTTTTGGAATTCTATCTAGATCGATTTATACATAGCATAATATGACGATATTGACGGTGCTTGTACATATTCCTTTTATCATATTTGCCTTGGTTTCATACAAAAGAGAAGGTGTGCCTTCTACTTTTGTATGGAATAACTATTATCAATTTGTGCATATTCATATGGGAGATCAAACTTTTCAAATCTATGATAATGGAGCGCTGCCAATAATTATTCTATTGCACATACATGAGTAGTCCAACGTCCATTTCAATATAAGTGATAATATAGCTAATTTGAAGTATGTGATTTACTTGTATTGTAAATGTATTTTTTTTTGTTATTAATATTATTTTTAAAATTAGACCCCAGGTATCTTGAGGTATTGAACATACATGAGTGGGAATCTTGAGGTATTGTGCCGATGGTTACAGGAGTTGTTCCAAAATCTTAAGAATTGATTTAATCGGTTTGGTTCTATAAATATGACCGGATAGTGGCCTATGCTCCCCGGTTACACATCGATGATGGAATCTATGAATATATATTTCCTCCATAAAATTCTAAATAATATATGTATACACACATCTTTCTATATTAATAAAAGAGTAGTTCTTTTGTTATATATCATCATATTAATTAGACATCTTAATTAATATGATGTCACTTTTCAATCTATTAATTGTCTATTTTAAATTTATTAGACCTCCTAATTAATGTGATGCTACTTGTCAATATATTTATTCTTCATTTTAAAATTTAAATTTTATATTATTGTTTTCATTAATCCACAAATATAAAATGTCTAATATATATTGAAAATTAATTTCACATATTTGAATCAAAGATTATAATTTTACATAACTAATAAAAATATTTATTAATTTATAATTTATTTAAAATAATTGATTAATAATTTTGAGTTTTATATGAAATTTAATTAATTTTATAATTATGGTTCCACGGATTATAAACTAATATATTACATATTCACATGTAAAAAAATTAATTCGACAAATACAAAATGGAAGAAATAATTAATCAAACAATGAAAAATGATTTATCAATTTCTAAATCAGAGAAATGGCTTGTCAATTCATTCAAAACATTCGATATCAATGATGCATCTTTTAATATTGAATAACAATCAAAAACCAAATCCAATACATACAAACTGATGACATGCTACTATTCATACCAACTAAAAATTTCCTTTGATACAAGTCAAATACCCCTTTCAACATAGGATAACAATTTTAATTCCTTTGATCCTTTGAAGTTGTCTCTTTCCGGTACCCCTTGTTCTTCTCCAACTTATCCATATATGCCATCGCTAGCTCGTCAATGTGCTCCGCATCGCTTTCCAAACCAATTGTGAAACTTTTTGTTCTTTTGCTTCATCGGATCCTGCTTCCTCTCTATTTTGAATAAAAATCCGCAATTCTTTGAACCAAGTAATGGATTTTCTGGTAGCATACATACAAAGTTTTTTGAGGGATCTTCTGTTTCGGAACCATAAAATAGATTTTGTGGGAGTAGGCGGATCAAGTTTTCTGAAGAATCTATAGTTTGGGAACCATAAAATGGATTTCTAGAAACATAGGGGACAAGTTTTCTGAGGAACCTCCTGTTTCCGAACCATAAAAAGGATTTTCTGGGAGCTGACGAATCAAGTTTTTCAAGGAATCTTCTGTTTCATAACCACAAAATGGATTTTCTGGGAGTAGACGAGTCAAGTTTTCCAAGGAATCTTCTGATTTGGAACCATAAAATAAATTTTCTGGGAGCAAACATATCAAGTTTTCTGAGCGATCTTCTGTTTTGGAAACACAAAATGGGTTTTCTAGGTCCTCCGAGGAATCTTCTGTTTCAGAACCACAAAATATATTTTCTGGGAGCAGACCAGTCAAATTTTCCAAGGAATCTTCAGTTTCAAAACCATAAAATGGATTTCCTTGAAAGGATGGTAGAACATGGTACCATGTATTGAAGAAAGGATGATCAAGTGCCTTCATCGCTGTCGGCCTTGCGGATGGACTCCATGAAAGAAGGGTGGCAATCAGATCGAGTGCTTCCAGGCTTGCACATGGTAACAGTGAAGAAAGTTGGACACCAGGAAGCTGTGGGAACTGATAGTTGCTATTTACCATGCTCAATGTGGTTTCTGTTGGACTGCCGATCACACTGCAGATTTTATACATTTGATCTCCATCATTTTTACCAGGAAACAGTCGGCCACCTGTAAATAGTTCAGCCATGATTACACCCATTGCCCACATATCAACTGAAGAATCATATCGTTGCCCAAGAAGAACTTCAGGGGCTTTATACCAGCGTGACCCAACATTAACAGTGTATGGCTGTTGGTTCGTCTCGCCAGCTAGACCAAGATCGGCAATCTTTATCACTTCCTTGGAAACAAGAAGGTTCTCTGGTTTGAGGTCACGATGAAAGTAGCCGTTGTTGTGCATGTACCCCAAACCTTGAAAGATTTGGAAGCACAAGTTTCTAATCTCATCCTCTGAAAAAGGCTTCTTCCTGTATTTCATACGCTCGTAGAGACTGCATTCCATGTATTCAAACACCAAGTACAAACTGTCGTGTTCTTTGATGATATCCTTGAGCTTTACGATATTGGGATGATCCATCTGGCGCAGTGCCTTGACTTCTGTCAGGTTCATGCATTCTTCCACCGAGTTATACTTCATCTTCAGTTGTTTGATCGCAACCACTTCTTCAGTATGTTCATTCAATGCTCCCCAGACAACCCCATATGATCCACTCCCAATTTCTTTCATTATTTGATACTGCTCCATTATATATATGTAAGACTTTCTAGCTTTCTCAAGAAAACACACAAACGAGGTACGCAGAGAAACTCACAGAAAAGAAACTTACGCTACGTACACAACTATAAAGAACACATCACCTTAATTATGTTTTCAACTTTCTTGATGAATGACACGAAAGAACATCATGTTTCTGATGAACAGGCATGCATGCTTCACAAATTTTATTATAAAACACAAACGATGGATCGAAGGGGTTAAAGAATTAAAAGAAATAGGGAACGAAGATTGTGAAGGGGGTAATTGGGCCGGCAGTGCATTGTGAATGTGAATGAAAGAAGGTTACTATTTATGCTACTAAATCCGGAGATTTTCAGATATGCAAGATTTAGGGTTTTAAGTTTCCTAAATTATCTTACGGTTATACCCGACTTCATACAATGAAATGCATGCACGGTTGCTTTGGCTCCAAACAACTTAAAAAATGGCTCCAACCAACTTAAAATTAAGAGCTTTGTATAATTATAATTATATATTTTATTTACTAAACTATAATTAAAGTATTACTAACCTTGTCCTGTCTCCAATCGATTAAAGTTTAATTAACAGTTAAATTTATATCCAACTTTTTCTTATAACATCTACATTTCTCTTATATCTCCAAAATTAATTTAAACATAATGATCATCTTTATTTTTTTATATATGATCTTTTTTACATATTAATTATTTTAGAAACATCTATATATATTTTATAGTAGTACCACACTATATTAATTAAAATCCAAACCACAAATAAAATATGTAAAATATCAATCTAAATAAATTTGAAGTAGTTCTCATTGATTTATATATTCACCTCCATCTCTATAGTATTAAGTAGACCACATTAGGAACCTGTGTTATTGTCTAAAGGTACAACATCACCTATATAGCATATATTTTTCGATCATTTTTCGATTTGTGCATTTCATTTTTGCGAAAGATCATGTTAATCGTCATTGTAATGTTCCAGTTTTATCAGATGTCCCCGAAAGGACATAAAAACAAGCTTATATATTATGTAACGTCCCAATTTTCAAAATAAAATGTTCATTTTTAAGCTGACATAAACACTCATTTTAATAAAGGTACGATCAAAGGAAAACCATTTGTTCATAAATGGAAATCCATAAATCAAACCATTTGTTCATAAATGGAAATCCATAAATCAGAGTTATAACGAAAGTATCGTGGAATCTTCAATCATAAAACTGTTCATGTGTGTGTATAGTCACGTCTTCACATCCTCATTAACTAATATAGTATATGAAAAACATTTAATTCACAACTGTAAACACAAAAGTTTAATGAGTTCCCCACAACATCACATACATCAGAGATAAACATACATAACAACACTCGACTTTGGGTCTGTATTGACTTAGCATAACATGCATACATACAAGTATCAGCTAAGACTCGGCTAGTCTATCATACCATTATAGCAAAATAACTATGACATGCATAACACAATGAGAAAACTCACCTTAATTAAAGAGCAAGAGCTTAACCGCAACCTCAGCAACAAAAACAACTAACACAAGCTACCTAAAGCTAACCCATAACTAATCCTTAGCTAAACAATCAATTCTACCAATGTTTAGCCACGCCTTGGTTCGGCTAAAATCAAAAGATCACGCAAATCTGTCCACCAAGTCATGCTTAGTCCTTGACCACAACATAGTATGCTAATAGATTCAAATCCTTATTCAGCTCTTAATCTGTTAAGTCATCTGCTAATACTTTCCAGAAAGCTTCATAGCACCTGATGGTCCCTAAAAAATTTTAACTTTAGGGACATGCATGTCCAATATATTTCCTTCCCAAAACTAGGTCAAAGTGTTGAGAAATTGGGTCAAATCCTCATGTGTGGCATCAAAACAACTATGAGTCTAGATCTGAATACAATGTTTTTGTGACATCCCCAAAATCTCGGCCAGAAAAGACCGATTTTCATTTATGTTTTTAAAATAAATTCAGAGTAAATCCTTTTGATTTGAAAGAGTTGCGGAATTTGTTCCCAAAAATAAAATGTGATAAAACAATGTTTATCAAAGCATTTCATAAAAGAAATGTATTTTTCATTATATAATCAAAACTCGGGATGTCATGTTCCGATATAGACCAATAAGCATAAACGATAACATTACAAGTCATTCAACAAATATTTACATATACAGACTTATAAACAAAACAACTTGATGGTTCATCCATCTTACGCCCTTGCGCCACTTCTTGTAATACAAATAAAACTGAGTGGGTCAGGCTTGGGAGCCTGGTGAGCATATAGGGTTTTCAACCCACAATAAATAATTAAATTAATTATTATCAACCAACAATAACTCAGTTACCCATTCCCGTTATTCTCACTTTATGTCCCTAAAATAACTAACACAAGGGACCTAATCTAAGAATATTTTCATCGGGGTGACAACACATGCTGCGGGGGTTCCTTAGCAATATAAGTCAAATAAGGCAACCATGAGGGGGATGGAATACAGCGAATGAACACCCAAGTTCATTAACACCTACAGGTTATGAGCCTGCTAGCGTTCCACTGGACTGTCTAGAAAAGTCTGTGGTCGTCATCTAAATTCCGCTAGATGACTGGATCAAAACAACAACGAGGCCTCTCATCTGTTTATTACACACCAACTATCTACCCATGTTCTACCCAACATATTAGTAGATAAAAACATACATTTTTATACATATTTTCAAAACCTGTATAGCATGCTTGATCAATACATTTTCCATATAACAGATGAGGCACACACACATAACACGTATTTCATATAGAAATAATCAGATTTGTAAGATAGAAGAAAGTGAATATACATTCACACACATAACAACAAAATATACACATAACATGTGTCTCGTATAGAATACTTCATAATTATACGTTAGGAGAAAGTAACAACGCACTCACACGTATAAACAACAATATACTTAATACATTTAAATCATACTTGTATTATTATCGTGTTTATGAAAGGTAGTATACACTCACTTGATCAGAAGATGATCGGACAGCACTACGACTTGCAAAAGTAGTAATCCTCAGCGGATCTGGAAGATCTCTACAAAAATCGAACTTCTCGCGGGCAGAGCTTCGGCTCGAAAACCGCACTTCTCGGGATCTTCGGGATCTCGGGACTTGCTTCGGGACTTGGAAAAAATTTTTCGGGGCTTCGGGGTGGCTTCGGGGGTAAAAACGCAGAGCTTCGGCACGAAACGGAAGAGAAATGAGCAACTATGCCCGAACCCCTCGCATCCTATTTATAGGAGGCTGGAACCTCCTCGTACGCGGGGCGTACAGGGCTCCGAAGTCGTCACTGCATGCGTCATCCGAAGTTTCGACATTTCTGGCTGTACGCAAGGCGTACTCGAGTACGCGGGGCGTACTCCGGATGAGTCCGGTGACTCGTCTTCGGATAAGGCCGGATTTAATAATTAAATTTAATTATTAATTATTTAATAAACTTCGAAAATTCATATCTCCTTCATACGAACTCCGTTTTCAACGTTTTTTATATCCACGTGAAGGTGAGACTACGCTCTACAACTTTCGTTTAGACTCCGTCGGCTAATTTTGACTTTATTTTTATTATTTATTTTTAATAGGCCGGGACAGAAAATTTCGTTATAAATTCATAACTTCTTCGTTTGACGTCTGTTCTCGCCTAACTTTTTATCGCTTTGATACTAACAACGAGATCTTCGATTCTCGTTTAGATCACTAAGGATAAATATCGCTCTAACGTAAATTTCACTTTTTACGTCATTCAGCGGTGTCGGTTTTGTCGCGAAATTTCGACAGGTCATAACTTCCTCGTTATAACTCGGATTTCGGCATTCTTTATATCTTCGGAAACCTTGTTTCGACTACTACAACATTATCTAAAGATATCAAGTTTATTTTACACTTAAATTTTGACGCTTATTTTTATTCTTAATTAATCAAACCATATAATTAAGCAATTAAGCACAAAACACATAATACTCAAATAATACACTTATATTATTTCAAAACGGGCTACAAAGGTTAACCTAGACTATCACATTGCTAAAAATGGCAAGCCCAGAAACACAGACGTTACAGTTTTTGGGACCTCCGAGACTACTAAATTGTAAACTTTATTCCCATTTCTCACATAAAACTCATTAAAATGGACTAAAACTCATAATACTTCAAGATCCAAATACAAGATACCAAAAGGCATTGAACTGTGTGACTTACAAATGTCCAATAGGTAAATGAGGTTTGAGATCTTCAAATACAAAGCTCCAAAGACCAAACTTGCAAGAAAGCACAAACAAAAACCAACAAAGAATTATAAGAGGAGAGAGGAGATGCTCAAAATATGAATAGTGAGGCTATGGTTTCTCCCGATGAGCTCTACGTGTGATGGAGTCTAAGAAAATGCCCTAAAACACGAAACCATTCCTTTAAATATGGTGAAAACCCTAAATTTCATAGGCTTAGGCTACACAACCACCAATTCGTGGTCACATGCTTACCACGTGTTAGCTGTATAAATTGCATCTTTTCACATGTTGATCTCCTATTTAATTATAGAATTGCATTGCATTTTAGTGTAATTTTACATGCATTTTCCATTTTCGGGACAAATCGAGTATTTATCTACTTTTCATGGTTTTTGTGGATGTTTCAGGGTGATATGAAGATTCGAGCATGCTTAGGATGGTCGAGGGAAGCTCTTGGTAAATTTTGGAATTTTTGGATCCGGATTGAAGAAGTTGCAAAATTGGAAAAATCAAATTTTCTCAGGTCATTTCGTGGGTCGTGTAACGATGCCTTTGCATTACGCGATCGTGCTTTGGAGTATTTCAGTGGATATATAGTTGTTAAATAGCCGTGTAATGATACCTTTGCAAACCTTTGCAATACACAGGTCGTGTAACATGGCCTGACAGTTCAATTTGAATTTGTAACGTTCGATT